GGAATCACGACACCGATTCAACTGAGAGCCCATCATCAATACTAGATTGTTCAAAGATGGCATGAACAACCAGTCCAGGAAGTTTGGTACCGTTATTCTTCCTGGCACCGCCCCTCTTATCCGCCAGTTAAGGGGCCCTTACGCTTCTTGGCAGCGGGTTGGTCTTCTGGCCCACCATCGCGCTTTTCGTGAGCGGAATTTGGGTCACCAGCGGGACCATCCCCGTCGCCATCCCCGTCGTCATCCCCGTCGTCATCCACACGCGTTCTAGGGCCCCTTTTGCCCTTTTTCGAGTCTGGCTTAGCGGGGTCTTCAGGCTGTCTAAGACGCCAGAGACACTCACCCTGCCTTTCCTCATCCCCAACAATACCTGCATCATCCTCCTTGATGAACAAGTCATTGTATTGGGTCTTGGACAAAGTCTGGCGGATAAGAGCCTCCGCACTCGTCCACTGCTCGACATAGCCGTCGCTTCCCGCCACAACCCCTTCAAATTTTTTGACACACGTTGTAAACATTCTTGTGTATGCGTCAACAATGACCCTGTTGTTGGTCCAACCGTTCCGCCCCAACAAACTGACCAAAAACCAGGCAGCGCCCTCACGGGCTCCTGGATGGAGCTTTTGCAGCCAAGCTCGGGAACCCACAACATCGTCCCCTCCACGAACAAAATCGTATTTGCCCTCTACGTAGTTCAGGGTGGGATCTTTGTTGCTGGTCTCCGGCCAGACGGCTTTCAAGAAGGTTAGCTTTTGATTGTCCCAAATGAGGAGGGATGACACGCAAGGAGGTTCTTACTCAGAGGTTGGTGACCACCAGTTATGGGCTTGGGGTTCCTTGGCCACGAAGGGACGGGTTGCTCTACGACAGGAGCAGCAACTACAGCCGGGGCATTATCACCAGCTGGGAGAGGGTTAGCAGGGAGAGCGGGGAGAGGGGCAGCGGCGAGCGGGGCAAGGTCAGCGGGGAAGGGGGCAGCGGCAGCGGCATTGGGGAGAGGGCCAGCGGCGAGCGGGGCAAGGTCAGCGGGGAAGGGGGCAGCGGCAGCGGCAGCGGGGACGATGAGGGCAGGGTTCCCGAAAGGTATATCTGGTACGATTATTAGCAAGCAGAACAATGCAAACAGGAGCAGTATGAAGATGTGATTAAGGGCGGTAGAGGGGGTGAGGGAGTTCGATAGGGTCAATTATATACTAACCGAGGTTGATATAACGGCGAAGGCCCGCAGCGTCGATTCCAGGTACGTTGTTGATTGACATTGTGAATTGAATGAAGATGTTGTAAATGGTTGAGATTTACTTAGAGATAATTGTAGGATGAGATATGAATGTGGTGAAGATGAATGTGATGAGTGTGAATGTCAGCTACTAGAATTCGAAATGACTGGGGTCTGGGAGGGATACTTATACCATGATTCTTAAGGGCATTTTCTCAATTTGCACTCAGACTAACTAGAGGTTTAGTAGTATCTAGATCAACTAGATCAACTAGTTAATGAATAGAAAATTTCATCAGCCATGGTATCATTCAAACTTACTTTGGACTGTTGATCTAGCCAAACCTAATAACCCAGTGTGACAGATAACCGTTCAATGGTAAACGTATAGCATTACGAGCATTATCCGGGGCATGTATGAAGTGTTGTAGATCTACATGACCGGAAAATCCTAAGAAACCTACTTGTCTTACCTTTTAGACAGTATTTTCAGAGCTCATTGAGATTTTTGGGGCAGGTGCTACCGAGCTGAGTCACTCTTGGGTTCTTTATTCATTTAGACAACAGGTAAGTAGATGCTAATTTAGTGTTGACGTTATTCAAGATCAAATTCTGTGACGATTCTAAAAAAGCTTGGGTACCTGGATGGCAACAGGCAAGTGTTGACAAAACTTAAAATCAACTTTCAAGTAGTGCAAGCACCAGCTCTGGCAAGAAAGAGCAAGGAACAACAAGTGCAGCGCTAGTCTTTGAAGCCATGTAGTTTCCATTGGTAACGAAATATTCGTCCTCCGATAGACTCCTGAAAGCTTGCTCCGTCGAGTGATCTACTTCAGTGTTCTGTAGAATGTTGGGTATCAATTTGATGAGAAGATTCCAAGTAATGCTGCCATCTTTTCCACATGTCGATATCATCACAGTAGATATCTATACAGTCCTCAGAACATATGTTACGAGTAGTCTCAACTTCAGGATCGTTAACTCACTTGGCATGCGTACCTAAGAATACCACTATTCGCTTATTTTCGAAGCCGATATCTTTGACGGATACAAGTCATGGATTTCGAGATGAACAAAATACTCGTATTCAAAATAGTTCAGCCTATGATTGACTAACAATGACTAGCTCTTGATACAGAAAACCCTTTCGAGCTATACCGAGTCGCTGTTGACCAAGGTTTGATGAGCTAGAACAATCTAGCATATATGCTAACAGACATAACTAAACTAAATCCCTCATCAACATATTCCTCGATTTCACTGCATCTCTACGAGTTACTGAACATCGCTGGATGACCATGCATATAAACCCTATCGAAATTTACAAATCTATTTCTCCAGAAAGCAGGCATTCAAACGATACCTATGAACAGACCCATCAAATTCTTCCATCGCTGTGAATCCGAGATTAAAAACTCCTTGTTCTCAATTGAGTAGATCACTTATGTGAAAGAATAGACTTTATGTCAACACCATAAAGGGAGAGCGCCAACATAAAACCATCCCAGATGGAAACTGCGCGCTAATTATGCAAGTCATCACTCAACTCGTCTGAAAGCCCCCAATTTACTCCGATTCATGATCTAGCGTTTCAAGTATCAAACCAAGAAACTAAGGATTCATACTGAAATTGCGTTATTGTGGGGAGAGCTAAGAAAAAGCGTATGGCGTGCACTCCGGCTTGCAGATTGGGCCAAGCATTTCCATAGTTCCAGATCACATCATAGTACAAATGATCCGTGTATTTTCATACTGAAAAGGTAGCGTGAGTGGAAGTGTCCAGTTATGAGGATCTTCTTGAAGAAGAATAGGCAGAGGTAGTTGATTTATTGCATTGAACAAATAACACTAAGCTGCCTTTTTTGTTTGAGCTGCTTGGTTTTACTCGGATGTCGACGACCCAAAATTCGTGTTGATGTGCTTGTTGTCGTAGATACCGAGTGTCTAACCCATATGGATTTGAGAAATGGATTCTGCAGGTAATGATGTATGATGAACAGTGCTATCAAAACATGTCGACTAAAGCGCATTGCGAAAGGCTGAATTTCTGCGCATATAATATCAAGAAAGTCTGTATTTAGACAAAATAAAACTGTATGAAACCTGTAAAATATGAAACATGAGGAGAATTGACAAAAGGAAATGTACGTATTCAAGGATTTATTCACAAGGATTTATTCACAAGGATTTATTCACAAGGATTTATTCACAAGGATTTATTCACATCCAAGAGGATTGTTCGAGTCTGATTTACATAATTTTTACTCTATCGATATGGCTATCGTCACAATGGCACCGGGATACCTTTCCTCACAATAGGAATATTTTCCAGTATTCTCATGGATTTAATGATACCAGTACCACAGGTACACGGTAGATGAATCGGGTCATGACGTTTTCTGCTGCTCTACCCTATAACAATGCCGCAGGTGTGTGGGAAAGTAGATGAACTGGGAGATGAAACTTATGATTAATTGCCTATCACTGTATCACTCAATTGCCAATCCCATTGTTGTAGGTGAGCGATGAGGTCTACGAAACGCGAGGTAATCGTTAAATCCGTTGCGCCGAGTTCGAAGAGTGCAGGGGAATCACGGAAATTATGAGCAAAGGTGTCGCAGAGGCGGTGTGGCGGGCGAAGGGAAGACACTCGACGAATGGTGCAAGGACAAGAGGACATGAGTCGCGTTTGGAAGTTGTATGTTGAAAGGCATAGGAGATATGCAGCAGACGTGCGGAGAATCGGGAACAAAGGGGGAAGACTATTTTGAGAGGAATCAAATGTGAAACCAAGGGAATGAAGCTCACATGGGAAAGAATGCGGGGAGACTGTTGTAAGGGAATAAATCGGCGACTCGAAAGGGGTGCGAACGTATTGCAGAAAGCCCATGAAAAGCTAGATGTGCAAGATCGTATGTAAACCTAATTCAAAAATTTAAAGCCAACCAAAAAAGATACTAGGAAAATGGTGGGATACAATAAGTTTACAGTGAGCACATATTCAAATTTCGGGTATTATTGCTGGAATTTGCATGTTGTAGGTTTATGGTCGCTACTTCCCCTTGATGTTTTGTAGTCTCCAATTGAATTTAACTTTGACCCCATCCCAAGAACAGTTATCGTTCTGAGGTAAAGGAAATATCGTCAACAAGTCTGATTACAGCTAAATTTGATCAAGCTTCTTGTACATTTGAGCCATGTAGCCTTCTGGTAAATAGTAACTGGAACGCAGAATGCGACTTATTCAACTAGCTAATTGATTCTTTGACCAGAGTGACTCGATGAGATCTCCATAATAGATTTTTGCAGTAAGGATATTTTAAAATACAGGTTCGTGACCCCGCTGCCATGATGGTACCTAGTACTCACAATAAAAGAAGACCATTTACAGTCACCAGGATTGGTGGGCAAAGATTCTCCGAATTTCGGGCTGATTTGAGATCGACCAAACCATCAGTTATTCACCTTTCATTTTTCACCGCTGGAATGCAAATAATACAGATTTCTACGCTGTGGGGTAAAGCAAACGCATGAAAGCTGTCCTCGCCCAATATCGAGCTTCCATAAGATCAACGTTAATGAATAGTCATTCTTCTTTTTCCGTCCTTAGATCCGGATTATTCACAAGAGCAACCTGGATCCAATCTCATGAGTTCCCAAGACTTTTCGTGCTTATATTTGCATCGTTAATCATCTCTCTGTCTAATTTGGAGACTCTATCGAACTCTAATTTGCACTAGAAATGAAGCAACTGCTTTATTTCCAATCTATTTGGCCCATTCGCTGATTTCACTTTTCATGCCATAGTCTCATTCAGTACAGAGCGTTCTTATGGAACCATTGAGTATCGATTTAAATTCGGAAAACAAACAACTACCTTGTTGGCCTTTGACTTGGTTGATTTGACGATGGTACTTTACTAGACGCAAATACGGACATGATAAGAAGAACGCCAACAAAATTCTTGATGAAGATACAGAGGTCAAGAAATGTTCACAATATTTACCATTTTTTGATTCGCCATCTCAAAAACGATCACCTATCTATTCTCAAAAACTCTAAGAAATGGAGACTTGCGTCATCTCAACCCGTGGAAGTCTCGGCATGAATATATGATGATTCAAAACTTTATGTTTACCTTCGTGTGATTTACTTATCCGGTACATCCTTGAGTCTGTTAATCTCTGGAGTGCATGTAACGGGACCTGAGTTTTGTTCCTGTACCGGGAATAGGAATCGTGTAGCCCCCAGCTTGAAAGCTAGTTTCCTTGGCGCCCATAAACATTTACTTTGATAAGGTTCACGAAAAGAACATAGCACAGATGACGCCTGTGGAACTCCTTCACACACGTACAGTAGAAGCAAAAATAAAAAATAAAAAAATAAAGTAAAACGGTATGTAAAGGATGATAAAAATGTTCAGCGACAACAATGGTGATGGTATAAAAGGAGGCATGCCGTTGTAAGCGAGTTCATAAGTTTCACCGGGAATGCGGCTACTAAGGTTTCCCTGGATTACTAATTGGGCTGACGGCCTTCTATTAAGCGCGAGAAGCGTGCTCGAATGAAGAATAATTCTAACGCGTCATATGAGATTCCGGTCTAGTTTAGACGCCTGCTTAATGAGTTTGCCGAAGAAACTCCTGAATGATTTGTGGCTGAAGCTATGCGTGGGACAACTGGGCATGCTAGGTTTGTTCAGGTCACCGTACCCAGTTTTTGCCTCGAGTCTCAAAGCAGGGCTAGGATGGATAGATGGACCTGATTGAAGTGTGGCTGAATATATGTTTGGAGCGTGTGTTTAGGTCGCCGTATCTAATCCTCTCGATTCTAAATCTTGGCTGTATTGCAGGTGAGGATACCTAGCCCGAGATACTAAACAAGAGCCACACTATCCATAGACCCAAAACCAGCAGCCACACCACCCTCTTCACTCTTATCACCCTTTGTTCGGAGAAGATATCCTGCTTCCTCGTTATGTAAGATTTGCGAGGTTGTTTGATCCCATAGACATGTTCCGTAAATACCAAGTTCACAGATTACACCACCCTTTTCAATAATACCGTTTCTCAAAATCATGTTGTGGACAGGTGGGGGAGTGATGATTTCCATCAGGATGAAGGATTTCCAATGAGACTCCGGAAGGGACTTGAGAAACGGAGGGATTGCGGAGCGGTAGGTGTTATTACCGCCACCTTCTCTTTGAGGTTTGAGGACATATCCGTTACAGCGTTCTGGATCGACAGCGATTTTACGAGCTTCGAGTCCTGCTGGAGTTTCATCGAGTGGAAAGATGTTTGTAAATGTGTCTTCCAGTTTCTCGAGATCTGCATCATTTGTCTTGATGAAACGATCCAGGATTGAAGGTGTAGAGGGAGTTCTTGGTGTAGCAAGTACTTGTTGAACTTTCTTGGCTCCAGCCAATTGAGTCAAAATTGATGGGCATTTAATTGCATTTGACCGCTCGATTTGAAAACGACCTTCCCAAGCGGATTCAGTTGAGTAATCTTGGGGACCATATCCCGCACGGAGATAGACCACAGCAACCTCAAATTTCTTCGAGGGATTACTTGGTGGTGAATATAACAACTCTCTCTTTGGAGTCTGGGCTATTGTGGTGTGTGCGAGAACCTCTGAAAATGCTAGTCGAAATACTGGGACGCCGTGCTTTTGAAGTTCATATTCAAGGTGTCTTTGATCAAAGATATTTCTTTCTGGTGTTTGAACCAAGAAGATTGTGCAGTAATCGTAGTCAGAGTTGGGAGTGGCTCCCTTATAGTGTTCAAAAGCCGATAACAATCCTAATGCTAATGATCTGGTACTTGTATTCTCAGGGAGATTTAACGATTTAGTTGCATCCTTATTGAAAAGATTATAATCACCCAAGGAAAGATATCTAACAAGATGGTCAGTCATGCAGAAATTAATCCAGTATTGATAGACACAAACTTATGCAATTGTGAAGTTTGAGAGGATAATCCTCCAAATGAAGAAGCAATAGTATTGAATTCGACCTGCTTAATCGTAGGCGTTGCATCCGATGTTTCCTGATGAACCATGTAATCTGATCGGAAAAGGCCCAAAGAAAGATTCTTTACAATCAGTATTTCTCAATCACTTGGAAGTAATTTGGTGGTCAAGATAGTATACCTGAACATAACCTTCACTCTTGACTTTTACATGAACACGCCAAAGTTCGGCGATGAAGTCATCTACTTCAAGGATTCTGAAAATAGTTAGAATTCACGCAACGCACACATTGAAACAGAAAAATGGTAAAGCGGAATTCCATCGAATCTTACTCTTGAACGATATCTTTAAGAAAGGCCTCATCTTGAGAAATCGATGCGTATAAGAGATTATAAGCTTTCTGGACCGATTTGGCTTGCTCAAAGCATATTCGAGGAAAGGGACTTGGAAAGAGAGTGACTGGAGCAGTAGTTGCTAAGACACCATGAGGATCTGCTTCTGTAGGCAAAAATGTCGGTGGAGGCCTTACAGCCAATCCATGAGCTATAGACCAATCTTTGATGGTTACGAGAAGTTGTTCTGATTCTTTTGTCGAAATCTCGGGAGGATATGAAGATGTCATGATGAGCTACAGTTTCGAAGGTTGATTGAGGGAATCAGTGTATGGTTGATATGAAAGGTTATGTTGTCCTAGGAAAACGACGATAAACACGTAGATGATGTCTATGGGATCGAGGTTGAGAAGATTTGATAATGATATCGGTGGTCTTCTGCTTAGATAATTTGTCATCACATCAGTCACGACATTGAAGAAATAGGTCGATCCACTTCGAATGAGATCTGTTAGTGGGGAAAGGTTCACAAGGCTGAGTGAAAATTATGCAAGGCTAAAAGTACCGATAACGATAAGAAATGTATCTGCTCCGTGATCATCTTACCAGTATTAAAAGCTTTTGGAAGGTTCACCAAAGGAATAGGTATTGTATACGTAGGTTCTAGGTAGGCAAGTGGGTAGCAAATACACCATTCTTCAACTGTTGCAATACCAATATCTAGTAGGAATATTGACTTTTCAAATATGAAACAACACATTTTTTTCTCTGGAAATAGATGCAAGACAGCCTCGACAGAATGACCTTGAGCTCTGTTATCACCACGTGATTGTCATCATGGCCCACTCCTTGATCAGATAAGTCGCAAGGCTGAAGACCCCTTTAGATTATAGCAGCAAGCACGCATTTTCGTGATTGATGGCCACGAAAGCTCGCGTCAGTCTTCAATTCAACTTCAATTTCTTATTTTCTGGCTCAAGCTTCCCCTCCTCTTCCCCCTCCCCTCTTATCCTACCCCTCTGATCTCTTCAACTTCAACTTAACCGCCGTCTCTACGATTCTGGAATAGAAATTTGATGAGTTTCGTGCCACAATACCTTCTCATACGAAGAGAGAGAGATTTCGCATTATTTGCTTCTTTCTAATACCAGTTATTTATTCTTTTCCCAGGAGCGCAAAGTCGCCATATAAATGGTTCCCGTCGTACCATTGGTATTGACATGACTTCAACTTTAATTATTTACACAGCTCGACCCATTTTCTACCAATTCACTTATTATAGCTCGATCTACGTTTGATCCCTAGATAAATCGACGACTAAACTTTTATCAGACTTCAATTCAAACCTTTTATTATACCACGCACACTCTCTAATGTGAGCAATCCACATCCTTACCACATGTTACCTCCAACCTTTACTCTTCACATCAGTTCATTCTCTTATATTTAATAAATTCGGCCTTTCAGAATAGAGGTGTTACTCTTCGCCGTCATTTATGACCATAACTAACCATCTTCCTATAGTTCGCGAGTCTCACGTTCTTCGTTGGCTATCACAGCTACCGCTTCCGTCGCCAAAGCTTTCCTCATGCCCAACAGCGAACTTGGATCACCTTAATACAACAATGGAGGCCGACGACCCCTGGTCATGGTCGACTGACAGGATAGTTCAAGAGTTTTGCACCGATCAACGATCTTGGGAACTTCGCGCAGCCTCTACTCGTATACCCGACCCAGTGTTTTTAGAGAAAGCTTTTCGGGAGAACGAAATTACGGGAGATATCCTTCTAATTGAGATTGATGACAAGAGTCTACGGGAAGATCTGCAAATAACCAAACTTGGCTGGCGGTCTTTCATTCGATATGGAATTGAGCAACTCCGCGAACGAAGCGCGAAATATAAGGTCTGGTTGAATAGGGAACGTGCTTCTGCTTTGGTTGCAGAGAGATACAGTAATAGCTTACCAAGTGTATCTTCTCATGCCGATTTCAATTTCACCATTAATTCGACTGTGCCCATTCACATGCCAGCTGATATTTCCGGTATCCCAAACATCCCTAGTTTGCAGCCTCTGAGGCTTTTTACGGAAGATGAGACTGAAGGGCCAATTCGCAATTCGAGCCAAGGTGTCGAGAATGTGTCTATGTCCGAAGGAAACAACAACAAGCAACAGAAGCTAGATGATGATAACACTCACGGCGCAAATCGGGATGGCCCATTGGAACCTAATAATTCTGACCCTCTCTGCATGACGCCCCCTCTTCACCCTCCGCATTCAGAAGATGAATCTCCGAACAAGCAAATTCTTCTCGAAACTTTAGTCCATGCTTCCAACGAGGTGCAACCTACCAAGACGCGCAAGCGCATTGCCCCAACACTCATTACAACGGCCATCGATCAAACAAGAGATCGCACAATACCCACCGAAGCTGATACTGTTCGCATATTCCTCCATTCACAACTCGATCAGGGTTATTTGGGTAATTCGCGCATCTCTGTAGACAATGTTTTCTATGGCAAAGTTGCTGCAGGCGAACAAATTCTGCCGGGTGAAATGGCTCTTGAATTCCAAGAACGGAGCTCCATCTCATTTGGCCGTCGTTTATATGTTCATAGCTTGATGAAACATTTTCTTCGTGTTAGCCCGGAACTTTTCAAGCGAAATCACAAGACCTTAATCGCCATTAAACCATATCGCTTGCGACTTGCCCCAAAACCTTCATTCACTTTATATCGCTCTAGTTCTGATACTACCGAAATCTCCCGGCAAGCTTTGGCATCATGGCCCGAGATCGATCCAGAAGCATACCCCATTAAACCTTCGAACGCCGGGAAATCGACCTTTGACTTTGATTCAAATGCGGAAGTTGATATTTTGACGAATGCGTATGAGGAACCTGGTGCTCTGAGTAAATACAACATGCTCAAGGATGATGATGAAGAGTTACCTTTGTACGGAGAATCTGGTTCAGAGAATGGTTTTGACACCGAAACTTGGGAGGCTATAGATGAGGAGGCTAAGGAGAGAGCTGCATATATCGAGAAGGAGAAACAAAAGAATAAGTTTCTAACCTCGCAAGAGGTAGAAGCGGCCGTTGATGCAGGTATCGCAGATCTTGTTTCTCAGTGGCAAGAAACAAAGCTCCCCAAACGTCGTCAAAAAGCATTCAGACTTTGGACGAAATCACGTAAGACAGGGTCAAAGCATGCAGATATTCTGAAGGCGCAGCAAGATTTAAAACACCTTGTTGACAGACGCATCCCCAAACTTAAAGAAAATATAATACTTGGTCAGTGGTCAAATGAGCACCAGGTACGTTACCAAACCCGCATCATGGAAGCAACAATCTTTGATCGAGAGGATTTGATCTATACGATCGCGCTTCTTCAAAAGAAGTCGCCACCTCCAAGATTGGCAGCAGATATCCCAGTCAAACCAAAGAAGACTATCTTTTCCGGTAACCAGAGCGACTCAGGAGAATCAATACATAGTGAGTCTTCTGCTGTCGAAAGTGTGCATGATGTTGGCGATTTTATTGTAGAGGAACTCGACCTTGCCGATGACGAAGAAGATGTGACCATGTCCGATGATAGTCTCCCAGAAGCTCCAATGACACCATCTCGAGGAAGAGCTCAACCACGATCTGAAGCATCTGTCCGGAATGGTTACATCAGTGAAGAAGACCACAACATGACCTCGTTATCTGATGAGGAGGAACTCGAATCACCCGAGCCAATTGAGCACTCCCCTTCAGATAAAGTCAAGAGTGAGCCGAAAGTTCTGCTATCAGCATGCACGCCTCAAAAGAATCGCATTGAAATTGACTTGGTAACGCCAGAGAGCAATCGAGTATCAAAATTGAACTTGAATCACACATCTTCAAGTTTTGTCAACCCGATCGTTCTTTCATCCGAATCTGACCGAGAACGTCATTCCGGGAGACCTATTTTAGATCTAAACAATCTTCCATCACTTTCAACACCGGCCGCAGTCTCTCGATTTGAATATGCGACTTGGGAGGATTCTAAAGACCGAGACCGACTCATCATTACAGTTGTAGACAAGCTGCCAAATCAAATGCAGAAGTCACTGTTTGAGCTCATTGCAACCATGGATGACGAGACAAAATTAAGAACTCGCATAGAAGAATCCATAGAACCTGGTCACAAGACAAAGGGTTTGGACGAGCAGTCGGGCAAGGCATTATTGACTCTTATCAGACTATTCTGGATTTTTATTGATTGCAAGTTTCACCTGGCAGATGAAGGATGGATGCTCTTCGCTGCCGATTCAATTACCAGTGACGACTTCAACTCCCTCGGTCATTTCTATCGCCTTTGCAAATCATTACAAGATTACTTCAACCCAAAAATACGTCTGAAGTTTCCTATGTCGAAGTTCTCCTCGGCGGTTGCAATAGTGTCTGGTGACGATGAAGATGAGGATGGCGAACCTCAAGGCCCAGTCAAGAGAAAACGTAAATCTGTTAGGTAAGATACTACAATTTTTATGGAATACAGTTTGTTCATGACTAATAGACGATAACAGTACAAGTGATAGTGAGTTTTCTGAAGGGGAAGATGACTCTCCAAGCAAAAAGAAAATAAAGTTCTTTGAGGATGCAGATGCTCGGAACTTGCGAGAGCAAGATAGAGCACGAGTAACTGCACAAGAAGAGCGTAAGAAACAACTTAGAGCTAGATTGAGAGAATCCGATGATGTTGGAGATGTGGCACTAGATCGCCACATTATCAATGAGGGCAAATTCGATTATCAAGGTTACATTTACGTCGATAAAGATATTGGCAAGCGCATAAAACCTCATCAATTGGAAGGTGTAAGATTTATTTGGAATCAAATTACTGCAGATGGTGAGGCGACACAAGGCTGCCTTCTGGCACACACAATGGGACTTGGGAAAACCATGCAGACGTGAGTATGGCGAATCATTTCCTGCAATGTGTAACTAACAATTTGCCAGGATTACTATACTAGTCACACTCGCTCAAGCGGCATCTTCAATAGATGAGTCCGTCTCATCACAAGTTCCGGAAAGTCTTCGTGTGTCAAAAACAATCATCCTTTGTCCTCCTGGACTGATTGCCAATTGGGTGGATGAAATTCTTACTTGGTCACCAGATGATATCCTAGGGGATTTGAGACCGGTCGATTCAGCGTCTGACCTTAAAAGCAGATTCTGTGCTATTGATGATTGGTTTGAAGAGGGAGGGGTTTTGCTCATAGGATATGATATGTTCCGCAGATTCATTGCTCCACCGAAGTCAAAGCCGGATAATCCTATGACACCTTCCATGATCAAGAAGTTCGAGCGGGCCAAGACTAAACTTCTTGAAGGTCCAAACATTGTCGTGGCCGATGAAGCGCACAAGATGAAGAATTACACTTCTGCTTTGAACATGGCCGCCACCCAGTTCAGAACC